TAAATAGTTTTGTTTATCTACTATTTTATTCTTTATTCGTTTTATGTCTTTAAAGAATAATAATACTGTATAATAATAATACACAGCATTTGTATAGCACAAATTCCCGCTCATCAGCAAGCTCAATACGCTTTAAGAAAGTAATATTTAAATTCTTCAACATAACAGGTCAACATTAATCGACTCTGATCATTGAAGGAAATTGACCTACACTACAACAAGCTACAGTTAGACGCATGAGGAAGTGTCTACACCAAAGTCGATAGAATCCGGCGTTGTGATATTGATGAAGACACTGGTGCGGGGCTGAGGTTCTGCAGGGCCGGAGAGTCTGGTCATGGCTGGCCAACAACCGTCGTACACAGCTATCGCCATGAGATTGGAGCCAATCTGTCATGGAAGGTCCAAAAAACAATATTGTAGAGGTTCCCATCTAGCTCTCACTGGCAAAACTGAAGGCCAACGAGGCAGGGGTAGGCCAGAGCAACCTACTTAGTGAACCTAAACAAATGGGTAGCAGCACTTGTATGACCTTATTCTGTTGCACGTGCGTGCGTAAGTAAGTTTATTCAGTATTTAAGGCCATTGGCCAGCATCCTCACATCATATACAACACTCATTTGTTAAATAAAGTTTCCATGATGAAAAGGTACAGATATATCTTACCATGGGTCAAACATTGCATACCGTATCTATGCCACAGGGCCGAGAAAGGCTGGGAGGAATTAACAACTTCCTTACTTCGATGGACAAAATTTGGACAGTAGAAAATAAAGTAAAATTCATGTTCAATTTCACGAGAGTTACACCTCTCTCGTAAGAGTGAATTTATTAGTTTCCACCGATAAAGATTGTTCTTAAACGGAAGGTTATGAGTTTTAAACAAGGCTATAACTCTAGCGATCTTCTGTTCCAGTACCGTGGGAGGTTGATGATAATAATATACTCCTCCGTTTTTTGAAACGGAATTATAAGAGAGCATTAATTATACTTGCAACATGACTTCTACATCTATGATTTTGCACAGGATGATCGCCAGGCCTTCTTTCAATTTTACTGAGAAAAAATGTAGTGTTCCCAACATTTTGAGAAAACGAGGTATATCCAAAAACCAGGGAAAAATTATAGTTTTTAACCTCTGCGTGTGCCGTAAAACTCTTATTTAAAAAACTAACTGACTGTTACTTACGGGATATCTGTATGCGTTGTAGGGCAGCCCTCCACTAGCAGGTCCTATGTTGGCCGCGGACGCATGGTCTGCAGTACTGGGAATACACTGCTGGTACACTTCGGGGTAAAGTAGGGAAGTTTTTCTGGGAGAGGAGATAAAACATGATGTGGGATAGAAAAAAAGGAGATGCCTTAATTACGCTAGAGAAAAGACACACACACACACACACACACACACACACACACACACACACACACACACACTTACACACACATTTTGAAATGGGTTGCATATGTTGTAAGGTTTTGGTCCATAGAAAGAACAGAACTCGAATTCTAATCCCCGAGTAACATTCGGTAAGCAGCCTGTAGTGTAAAAACAACACACTTTTGGAATGGTTAGGGTGGTCCGTGATTCGGTGAAGTCAGACCGATACCTCGTCATCCTACCAAAGTTTTGGAGAAGCTTGGAACTATTTATTGATAATGAAGGGAAACGCAACCAGAACTTCCAGCAAGATGGGGCTGCTCGTCATAACGTCAGAGCTGTTCTGTGACGGATCAGCAACCATTTCGGTTTCCGAACAGTCGGTCCTGAGCACAACTGGATCCGAACCGATCCGGATCTGAGTCCACCGGACTTTCAATCTTTGATGTGTTGAAAGGACAAGGTGTGTGGGGAAAACCTTTGAAAGTATCCAAGACTTGAGAGAAACTGTCGTGGGGGACACGAAAGAGACAACC